GTTTTGAAAGGCACATAAGGTTGTGGTATGGATCAGTTGTTGGTAGGTGGAGGAATCACTGTGATTCTATTAACAAAGCGGCTCTCACTTGTAGTGGTAAAGGAATTCTAGAACCCTAGGAAGAGAAAAATCAACTAATATGGTTACTTGTGTGATGAAAGGGATGAGAAGTCGGCTTTATTATTTAGGCATGAAACATACATAAATTGTTTCAAAATCGTATCAGGAGAAACCCTCACTTGAACACTACGAAACATTGTTGGTTTTAGCCAAATGTTGGTTTTAGCCAAATGTTGGTTTGCTCACACTTGTTGGTTTTAGCCAAATGTTATAAGTATGAGAAATCACAGCAATTCAGCAGTACGTGTACCTCCAAGGCTCCACCCTATATTTCCCATCGTTTGTGTATGCAGATATGAGATATTGTACATCCGGCCAGTTGTTTAGACTTTATAATTAGATGCAATGTGTTCTAGACGGATCACATTTTTCTTCCGATAAATCGATATGCTTGTTGGTGAATAGTACTTCCTCTGATCTATAATAAGTGTTGCAGTTTTGAACTAAGGTTCAAAACTGCTACATAATGGATTGAAGGGAACTAAATTTGTTTTGAACAGGGAGGGGAATATACTAAACTAAATACATGCATAAATAATAATATACAGAACTACGTACGGACTGATGAGAAAAATGAACCCGAAAATCATACTGAAAACCCCGTAAAATCACGCCGAAGCATTGTGGATCTTATCTACCCATACACGGCGCTTCAACCTTGGGAGCAGCCGGCATGAAAACAGTCACAGCCATAGCAAAACTCCAAAGAGACCACGGAGGGGGAGGCAAAAAGAATGGACTCGATCTGCTATACGTAGTGGCTACGAACTACTCACATCGCTTGCTTCCAGCTGATGGCCGCTATCGATCGCGGATACCGCCCACCTTCCCGATCTGGAGGTGTGCCAAGTGAGATGGGAAGAGGAGCAGTAGCGAGTGAGCGAGAGTGACAGTTCGTGTGCGTCTGGCTTCCGTTGGAAGGAGGAAGAGAAGAGTAGAAGGGAAGGAAGGGCGCACGGAAACGGGCCGCGCTCAAGGCCCTCGGCCGGTGAAACAGGCCCAGCGCATAACCGTCAGAAAATAAACGAATTAAGATTGTCTCAAAACAAAACGAACTAAGAGGAGAGAAAAAAAAACTCTAAAAAGGAGAAAAAGTAGTAGTAGGAGAGAGGAGGACAGCACAGCAGCAGAGCAGAGCACCCCTCATCAGCGGCCGCCTCCATCCCTGCTCCGGCGCGCCATCGCCGTCACCGATCGATCATGGTGAGTAAGCTCGGATCGATCGGTCGATCAATCCCACTTCTCGCCCGTCCCCAGTCCCGCGCCTGGTGGGAGATTGGAATTTCGATCCCATCTGATTGGAGTGGGTTCTTTGTGCCTTGGTTGTGCAGTCCGGGCGCAAGGAGACGGTGCTGGACCTGGCC